GAAATGTGAAGAATTTAATGTAAATAAATGCACATAAAGAATCCATTGTCACATAACTCAATCAAAACATTAAAACCCAGAATATACCTAAAACAGCATATTATCAGTATAATGCCTTGTCCTGATGTCTAATCAAGAAGTTTGCATTAAGGGTTCTTCAATTTTTGCAGCATTGAGTACCTAAAGATTTCAGGCATGGCTTCATACCCATAATTATTTTTGTCACGAGAAACGGACAATGACAAGAACACCACCATTTTGACAATTTTAGCTTCCCCCACCACCCAATGGACTAGGTATGATACTTGATCAAGGGAGAGAAAAGTGGGGCCAGTTAGAAATTTGTCCACCATTTAGGGTACTTAAGACAATTAAACAATCCCTCCAAATTGGCCGGGATCCATGGTGCTAATGGAGGGATTTTGAGGCTAGAAATTTAAATAAAAATACAAAGAAACTGTTGCAGAGAAATTTTAAGTCAGGTCAAGGTTTACCTCATGAAAATAAAGCAAAATGCACGATAAACAAGAACACATAATACAAAAACTGTTCAAGGTAAGTTTAAACATCAAGAAAAAATTAGTTGTTTACATATACTCACGTGAGAGCAGGAAGGAAAGAACAGTTCACAAATGAAGAGAGAAAGAAAATAGTGCGACCAAAGCTAAAAATACAGAGGCATAAAAAGAGAGAAAATTAGTCCATTTTTTAAGTGAAAGGAATACACAGATTTTTTAAAGATTCGATTGTGATTTTAAAAGAAAACCTGAAAAGTGCTGATGCAGTTCAGGAGCTATTTAGTCCACAGCTGACCTAATACTGCTGTTCTGTTCACAAAAAAGGAAGAAAAAGTGAGAATATCCATATCACAATGCTACATTCCAAAAAGAAGTTCACAAAGGTACCATCATTATATTTTATTTCCAAAACTTCAAACCCACAAAAAATACACAAGACCATAAAACTTCAAACCCACAAAAAATACACAAGACAAAATACACAAAAAAGAACTCAAATTTGGTCGCAAAAAATGGCAAGTTTTTATTTTGTTCTTTTGCCATTTTCCAGGAGAAGAATTTATGAATAGAGGCAGAGACGATGTGTATAGTTGTTCTTACCAAGAAAATCTTGAGAAAGAGACTGAAAAATATAAATCACTGTGCTACAAGAAAAATTGAACTATTTAGAGAAGAAGAAGAAGAAGAAGCCATTGTAGTTTGAAAGCTCAACTTTCGAGGCCAACTGCTACTCTGGTACATCTATAGTTTTTCCACTGGGTGGGTGAAGAGCCTAATGCAGAAGGCAAAGACGAACGTGGGATAGAGGAAGAATTGTCGTTTGATTGGAGCGTGTAGAACAGATTAGTTTTGAGGGGATAGACTAATGGTGGCAATGGATCGAACCGGCTTGAACGTTCGAGCCCGAGCCGAGCTCTCTAAGGGTCGAATGAGCGGGCTCGTGAGTTTTTTTTTTTTAATTATTTTAGAAAATATTCTTACTTTTTGTTCACATTTTTTATGACTCTACAAGTCGACTTTACAAGCCTTGTGAACTTTAGGCTCGTGGCACTAGTGGTAGCAAAAAAGCTTGACGGCTCGAATTCGGCCCGAAAAAAGTCTGAGCGGGGCCCGGCTCGGGCTCGGTGGAGCCAAGCCCATTTTGGGGGGTTTTTGAGGGGATAGACTTAATGGTGGCAATGAGTCGAACCGGCTTAAACGTTCGAGCACCAGCGAGCTCGCGAGCTTGAATTTTTTTTTTTTTTTTTTGGTCAATTATTTTAGAAAAAATTCTTACTTTTTGTTCACATTTTTTATGAGTCTACAAGCCGACTTTACGAGCCTTGTGAACTTTAGGCTCGTGGCACTAGTGGTGGCAAAAAAGCTCGTCGGCTCGGGTTCGGCCAGAAAAAAGTCCGAGCCCGGCCCGGCTCAGCTCGGGATAGGTGGAACCGAGCTTAGGCTCGGGCCGAGCCCCATTTTGGGGGGTCAGCCCGAGCCGGGCCGGCCGTGATTAATTAAAAAAAATTTTAAAGTTAAAATAGCTGAAAAAAATAAAAAATCGAGTTGGCTCGGCTCGCTAAGGCTCGAGCCTTATTTTTTTTGGCCGGGATGGCTCGAGCCTGAAAAAAGTTCGGCCAAAAAAACTCAAGCCGAGTTCGAGCTTTTTTTTTCCGGCTCGACTCGACTCGACTCGTTGACATAGCTACATGGCACGTTCGTGGGCTCAAGGCTCAGCTCGTCGAACGAACCCCCGACTAGGCTCGGACTCGTCCCGAAACGAGTCTGAATCGTCCACAGGCCAAGCTTTAACGAGGCGAGGTGACGAACTACTCGGCTCTTTTGCCACCTTAGGTTAGTATCGTTTGTGGTCATAGACTTTCACCAAAATCTCCATCTAGTTATTAAACTTTAATTTGTCTAAATTACATCACTATGTTAGAGATGGGAAAGTGTCCAATCTTGCCCTGTTTACAAATGTCAAATGGGATGAGTCGCTCACATCCACAAGCAAGTTTGGGCAACTTGACTCGCCCTCGAGACGAGTTGTGAGGCGAATCGAACTTAAATTTTTTTGTGCGAACTACGGGCCAACTCGCGAGCCACAAAGTAGCTACCTAAGGTCCTCCTCCAAGCAATTTCAAATAGCATAGAAAAATGTATATAGGGAATAATAACAATAAAAAGAACCCAAGATTTAGTATACATACTCTAAAATTGGAAATTGTGTATAAAATTAGGCGATTTTTTCCTTGACACACGATTCTAAAACTAAAGTATAAATAATTATGTATAGATATATGATTATTTGATATAGTTCTTGTTTGGTAGAAATTAAAATTTAGATTTTAATTTAAATTAGAGTCAGCAATTAATTTTAACCACATATTTTAAGAGATTCACAACTTCACAACCACACATTTCA